AAAAAAAAAAAATATATATATATATATATATATATATATATATAAAATGCTAAGAAAGACAGTCAACAGACTCAACAATTAAAGCATCAAGCTAGGCCATTTGTTCCATTTAAAACTTTAGATATTAATTTCATGGTATTCATTTGAAATGTGAGTATCGGCGTCTAATATGGAAAATTGTTATTTTAATAAAAACTTTTTATTTATTTACAATTTCAGAAGTATAAAAAGTCACTAGAGCAATAAAGATTCTCTATATTAACTGCCTATATGTTGTTTCCTATGATGGGATTTCGCTTCTCTTCCAGGGAGTCTGGCCAAGGAAAGGACACAGAACTTGCATGAATTTGTGCTCCTTTTTGCTGTATTTGATGAAGGTTAGTGAGCTTCGATCTGAGTTTTGAACTTTTGAAACAAACCCTTTGCTACTATTCAGAGGAGATGATTATAGAAAGATCATAAAGTACATTACTGTTCAGGAATGAAGGGGATCGGGTTGAAAATGAATTCCAAGAAAACATGTAGCCTAAGTTCCACGGGTAGCCGTGAGGTAAGAAGATAGTCGGGTAACAGGTTGGCTTCATCTCTCTCGTTAAATCCATCAACAAGCTGGGGGGCTCAGCCTGTCATCCCGCGCTTAGGGAGGCTGAGGTGACTGGATGGCCTGAGTCCGTGGGTTCGAGACCCGCCTGGGCAACTTGGTGAGCCCTCATCTCTACAATCAATCAGAAAATGAGCCGGGCGTGGTAGCGCGCGCCTGTAGTTCTAGCTACTTGGAAGGCTGAGGCGGAAGGATCACCAGAGCCCAGCAGGTCGAGGCTGCGGTGGCCATGAGCATGCCACTGCACTCCAGCCTGGGCGACAGAGTGAGACTCCGACTCAAAACAAACAAACAAAAATCCATCAACAAAGACTTTAGCTCCACTTTCCAAATACTTTCTCTTATCTTCTCTTCCTAAGCGTGCAACCTTTGGCAAGTTATTTGACCTCTCTGTGTCTCAGCTTCCTCAAATATAAAATTAAACGCAACAGGGCTGAACTTGTTACTGATTATATAATGATCATATTAGCAGCAGGAAGAGGCAGAAGTACTAACACTGTTGAGGACCTACTGTGTGCCAGGTTAATGTCACATTGAAATAATAGTACTTTTTATGGGATTGTTATGAGGATTAATTGAAATAATAGTTCTTTTTCCTGCCTCATCTTCCATTGCCAACTTACCTGTCTATTAGAGCTAGAGTGTAAGCACCTTGAAGGCAGAGGCTGGGTCTTCCTATCATCAGTGTGTACACCCAGTAGTGCTTAGTATAAATATGTTGGAATGAATAAACAAGTGAATGAATGGGTGAGTAAATAAATTTATGAGAACTCCCCAAAGGCTGGGTGCTTCAGAAAGTTTGAGCACTGAACAAAGGGTTGACTTCTAAGAGCCACTGTCCAAAAGTATTTCCAGTGCATTAGCTCTTATCAGTTTCAGAGAGGGAGCTGGGAAGCTTTCAGGTTCCTGGGGTTTCTTTACTACAAGCTGAGCTAAAGCAGTTATGACAGAGACAGACAACCTTTTTCCTAGGAGGATTTTCATATGCTTCCTTTTAAATAGGTCAGCTAATAAATCGAATAAAATGTTTGTGGCTCACACTATCCAATATACTCCCTTCTCCTAGCTGTCATTTGTTATTATCGCTTCCCATATATTGTGACAAACACAGAGAGAGAGAATCAGTTTGAGTGAGAGATGTCTGCCTCTAGTAATTGTCTTCTCCCGCTCTCTCTTTGAGAGGGACTTCGAGAGGGTAAGTATTCTTTGCCTATTCTGGTGACAAAAATGCTTAAGGTGTGAGCAATGTGCCCCAAGAGACAGGGAAGAGAATAAGGAGGGTGAGTCACTCATGAGACAGATGCTTAGCGGCTCCATCTCTGGCTCTCTCTCGTCAGGGAAAAGCTGGCACTCAGACACAAAGGACTCCATGATGCAGGAAACGGACGCTGCACCTGCCCAGGCCTGGCCTAAAATGCACACAGTCAATGGCTATGTAAACAGGTCTCTGCCAGGTATGTACACACCTGCTCAAGAATCCTCAGGGTTTTCTGAATTCAGCACCAAAGCTTTCTGCTTTAGTTCTCAGACAGTTCTGCATCCCAGAGGACAGCCCACCGAATATTGGCCTCTGGGGTGAGGCGGGAGGTCTTGAAATATGGGAGAAATATGTAAAGATAAAAACAGAAAATAAGAATCCAAGAAGAAAAAGAGATAATGCTCAGAACAGAAGAGGACTTGTCAAAGGCTCTAATTCATATTTTCATAAAAATTTAAGAAGATACTGGTTTTAAAATGGTGGCATAGTGGCAAGTACTCTAGTGTGAAGATCCAAAGACAAATCTGTCAAGAATAATAATAACTACAGCAACCTGTTAAGAGAATATAGAAAGATATTAAATGAGAAAGCAAAAAGTCAAAATGGGGGAGGGAAGGATGGAGTTAAAGTGTAGAGTTGTTTTAGGTTTTTCTTTGCTTATTTTCTTTCCTTTGGGATCAAAGTTTAGTTGTCATTTGTTTAAAATAACTTGATTATATCTATAAGATGTTTTGGGTAAGCCTTAATGTGACCACAAACAAGAACCTACAATAGATACATCAAATATAAAAAGCAATGAATAGGCTGGGCTCGGTGGCTCAGCCTGTAATCCCGCGCCTTTGGGAGGCTGAGGTGAGTGGATGGCCTGAGCCCGCGGGTTC